AAGTTTACAAACTATATGCTCTTTTCAGTCATACACGTTACGAAAAATGACATTTTGTGTATGATTAATTCACGGCGAAGTCATTTAGTCAATGAATGTTTGTTTATGAAATATTAAAATAATCACACCTACATGTGTGCCACGCAGATGATGATTTTAATTGATATGACGTCAGATCCATTGCGAATCCAATGAGGTATGGGATATGTTGTCACAGGTCACAGATTTCCGAAAACAAAGGCAGAGTCTGTCATAAAACCGAAAAAGCTCAATATGATTGACCTTTCAAAGTTTCCTCTTCACTGAATTTTATTTAGTAAAATCGATTGCATATTCTGGTGCGTTAATAACACATAGGAAAATTAAAAGATCCTTCGAGAATTACAAGTTCGATGTTACCTAATCAAATGAGTCAGAAGACGTATAAAGATAACCCCATTTATATCATCTGTGTAAATAGTTTTTGCTAAGCGTTAGCACATTGTCAGTCAGTTGGCAGTAATTCATTCATTTGAAGAGCATAAAACTTATAACGCCAATTTGATATTTTATCAGCTTCATATTTTCTGGGATGAATAGCTTTTGAATGCTCCTGACATGGCGTGAAGGGCATGATTTATAGAGCAAGGCCTGTTACGTCGAGGATACCTAGTTTTCTTGTAAAGGTTGGGCTAGCTTATAAGATTTCCCTCTAACGGACAAAGGATTAGGACATACAGGCAGCTATCGCTCATGCCGTTACTTGTTCATTGGATTTCGAGCAGAAAATTGAATTTCTCTGACATAAGAGCATGTGCCCTGCAGATAATACTTAAGGCAACTTTTACCAGAACTATTACGGATACAAAGGAGACCTGTTTACAAACGTGAGGCGTTACGGGGGAGAAAATGGCAAGCGGAATACAATCTATTCCAGGCATTTAATGAAATATTTCAAAAGTTCCGTGGGATGCTTTGGCATAATGATGTTTTCATTTCCATGTGTATTACAAGAATAAGAAATTGTTTTTGTATAATAATTTTATCAGAAACAAGTTAATATTTAAATGATAATAACGAATAAATGTTATATTTAGAAAAAAACGAAGACTATCATAAACAATGATCGATGTGAACAGACACAATATGACGCCCAGATCAAACCTATTTTTTCTTTCAAATAATTTGAAACAAATTCTGCATTACCAACAGATGATTGTTTATTTATGAAACAAAGTGTTAGAGTCGAGATAATGATAAATCGATCATGGAACATAATTAGACACATGAACGAGGGTTGACTGAAAAGTTCTGAGCCTAACTAACACAATACAGAAGGCATCTCCAATGAGAGAGTTGAGAACATGCTGAATAGGCATAGCATGAGAAAGGTTTCAGCACGTTAGGTTCCAAGGCTTCGGACTCCTGATCAGAAACACTCCAGGGTCCTCATCTCTCGTGATAATTTACCTCATTTCGAAGCAATCCCAGTTCATTCTATGTCAAGGGCGGTCGGGTAGCCTAGTGGTTAAAGCGTTAGCTCGTCACGCCGAAGATCCGGGTTCGAATCCCGACATGGGTACAATGTGTGAAGCCCATTTCTGGTGTCCCCCGCCGTTATATTGCTGGAATATTGCTAAAAGCGGCGTAAAACCAAACTCACTCACTCACTCAGTCTATGTCCATTCTTTCACCTATCAGTGCTCCGGTACCCGGTCTCCCGTTTCCCCAGTGTCCATTACCTATTACTTATCTATGATAACTTAAGTATTGGCTTCCATACCATCAGCGCTGAGTGTTGGCTTCCATTGTCTACTGCTAATCACCTATCAGCGTTAATCATCTGTTGACCTCCCTTTGTTAATTTCCATATTTTGTTATCTTATTAATTTTGTTGTCCTTACATGTACATACATATGCTCTCTGCCTCTTGGCATTTATTCACCTGATGAAGGAGTAAAAATACTTCGAAACGTTGTGTTCCTCATAATAAAGAAGTTGACATCCACAAATTCTCTTCCTTATGTGTATCACTTCTAAATGCCTTTCAAAGATCCAGTTAATTCTGTTCTGCGATTTTTGACCAAAGATGAGTCTTGGTTCGCAGGTCTTACATTTCCACCATTTTAGGCTGATATGGTGCTTAAAGACTAAGGACTTTGACGATACGAGCCTGGGATTCGGACTAACTACCATCAGATCCCAACATGGCGAACAGACGCAAATCTTAGACCTTCAGTGCCAATTTCTTGGTGAATAAAATAATCTCCATTCATAATTAGATACGACTGACGCCAACCGAGTTTCAGCTAAATAGACGGCTCCCTCGTCCACTCATCACTCACCTGACCGCCATATAGTTACGTTCTTACTTTAAGCAGTCATTCTTTACACGTTTAAAAACTATAGTATGTAGATCTAGAAAACTATTCAGAGAATTTATCAAAGTAAATATATATAAAGCAATATAGAGATTTTGTATATATATATATATATATATATATATATATATATATATATATATATAGAAATATATATATATATATATATATAGTGTTATCCTTCCCTGAAATTCACCTGATGAGGGGGCAAGAAGTGGCCATGAAATGTTATGTTTGTATAATAAAGAGTTTGTTATCCATCATACTCCTTGTCACGTTTCCATCCAACTTCTAGATGTCCATGAAAACTCCCACACAGTGCATAGAACATATCTACATCTGACAGTGATCAACCCCTATAACGATCCTTCCTTCTGTGTGAAGATCATGAAAGGTCTAGCATACGGACAGGCTCTTTCATTGATTGATACATAAAAGTACCTTTATTACTACTGACAAGTGGGCGGTGGAGGATGTCATTACTATAGTAAGAACCAATAGAACCAGAAAGGTGGGTCATTGGAACTGATAGTGTATAAACTCGGCAAATTAGGTACCTTCATTCCAGATACACGTTATCTGAAATATACTGCCGATCAAAAGAAAGTACCCACTTGTTTAATGGTTGCTATAAATGAAACAAACAAGAAATGGTAAGTGATGTATTTGATACAGGTATCACAGATGATATGACATGCATCGTATGTATGAATATCTCACAACACGTCAGCCTAGTGAAGTTTGATAACGTTTGTAATATTTTTTGCCAAATACAGTTTTTAAGTGTATACTTTCTTTTGCCCCGCCGTTTATGTATTGGTCGATATCGACCCTGACATGTTTGTCCCTTGGTGTATTCCTGTGTTTCTCACGACAAAGGAGAATCGAACGGTCAAAATGTCTAACTCAACCACTGTATCTTGCTCATGCTATAACCAATGGTTTACCCGGCCAAGACAAGATTTTATAAAGGGCACCTTGATACAGGTAGAATACTGCTGACTGCAGCACAAACAACTCTCGGTATTTCACGTAACTTGGGGTTCTCTACAACCTAATATAACACAGCAACAGAAGTTATAGTTATATGCTAACTCATTATAAGCGGCCATAACCATTATCACCTACTTGCAATTTGAAAATATGACCAGGAGATGATTTACGACATAAAACTCAAACATGACTTTCAGCACACATGCAATTTTATTGCCGACATGGGTATGCGTTCCACTGCAGAACACGACACGCAGCATTTTCCTTCCAACAGTACAGTTCAATTTACCCATTGAACACTAGGGGGCAAATTAGAGCAGCTGGACTATTGACTTTAATGTTGGGTCAATTTGATGGTGTTTCCTTTTCCTCCTTCGTGATTGGAGTAGATAGTGTTACTAAAGCGGAATAATTGCTCAGCGGCAGACGCTATAGCTAACACATCCTATTCCAAATGACTGAGATTCATAAGTGCATATAAATCCACTTTATTTGAACCGGAAACATTTGACCAAATTACCCATACCTTGTCCTTGACTTCTAAAGGCTTCATAACGTTTGACAGAGAATCGTATTAACCTGCCGGCTGTCCAAACATACCAACACTTTCTGAGTCGAGAACAGAGGTTAGCCAAACTACCGAGGTATGTCTGTACGCACGCTTTGATTTGGCGGAAGCAACCAAACAAATTATCACCAGGGTTAATTGCTTGTTGTTCACTGTTAAGAACATGCCAGCTCATGTCTATTCATATTAGATCTAGAACAACAGGTACTGAGGTACAATGTACATGTATATTTGGTCGGACTATACAATGTCCCTGCAGTAGCAACCAATTATTTTCAACATAAGGAATCATATCGGGTGAAGATATTTTGATGTTGGAAAACAGGCAAAACAAGGAAATAGAGACAAAAGTTGATGTTATGACAATAGTTCAAGCGGGCAGTAATTTAAGATGCGTTCCTTGGGCACGCTAGAATTCCATGATCGAATGCCGGTTCGCACTGATTATATTACTGGGATTGTCAGCTCGTGGGTTTCACCAAAGTGGTAAACGTCTGAGACTTGCATCACTTCGGGCTATCTTCCCACACTGAGCTGACACGCCCTGATATAATTGAAAAACTGTTCAAACCGTCGCTAATTTCACTCACTCCAATAAGGCAAATGGTTGCAAAACTTGCACTAAGTATCCTATTCTGTACGTGTTCAAGTTTAATTCTCTTTTAAATTCGATCCGATGGTTTTGTTATTAAATGCCTGTTGTTTTTCCAGACCGGAATGATTGAAAACAATTGCAATATTTGTTTGTTTGCTGTTAAATGCAGCACTGAACAACATTCTATCCATATGACGGTGGTCTGTACATAATCGAGTCTGGGCCAGAATATCCAGTCATAGACATAGACATAGACATCGGCCTCGTAATTGGGATACGATGACATGCCTAGCCAAGTCAGCGAGTCTCACTGCCTGATCCCGTTAATCGCCTCTTACGAAAATATGCGTTGCTGAAAATACTGTCACGTGTTGACAATACTTGTATTGTCTCAATAGAAACATCCAGTTTATGCATAACGAACATGTTATGCCACTTATATAATGCTATAATTTGAAACTCTATATTTCTGCTTTTATTGCAGGCTTACCGCCGGAGTTGTACGCCATATGGGAGTCGTATCCTTGGAGATTTGGAGCAGCCTTTTGTATTCTACGTCACTCTGTGATGGAGATGACGTCATATGCGTCGGTTCTGACAATCACAGCCTTCACCGTGGAGCGTTACGTGGCCATATGTCGTCCTCTTCAGGCACACCGTATGGCGGGACTGTCACGATGTCTCCGGATCATCATCTCCATCTGGGTCGTCTCCATCCTCGTGGCCCTCCCCTTCTCCATCCACACCCGCGTGTTTCACGAGCTGCACCACCCCGTCACCCACGAACCTATCCCAGAATCCCTCATCTGCAACATCCGGACGGAGTGGCGGGGACGGATGACGTACATGTTCCAGATCTCCACCTTCTTGTTCTTCGTCACCCCCGTCGCCGTCATCATCTGCCTTTACATCCTCATCGGCATCGCGCTCCGGAAGTCACACCTCGGACGAGGACCGTCGGATGAGATTAAATGTAGTAGCGGCAAAACCAAACCCCCATCCCAATCGAAGAGAGTCGTGATTCGTATGTTAGGTACGTGAAATGTGTCACCTTACCAAAATATTTTGGATTTGCTTTAGAAAGATTGGGATTGTCAAAAAAAATGATTATTGCTAATGGTTCATTGTATACTTGAACTGTAACTTCTCAAACTACCACCTACACATTATATGTAATATACTTGCATCTGTTTGAGGATACTTCAGATGTTTCGCAATCACTACCTTTTATGAAGGCGACTATGCTTGTCGTAAGAGGCGACTATCGGGATCGGGTGGTCAGGCTCGCTGACTTGGTTGATGCATGCCACCGTATCCCAAATGCGTGGATCGATGCTCATGATATCAATCACTGGATTGTCTGGTCCAGACTCTATTATTTACAGACCGCTGTCATGTAGCTGGAATATTGCTGAGTGCGGCGTTGAACGACAAAAAAACAACAAACAAACAACCGCTTATAAATACCACAATGTGTATACCAAGTTTCAAGTGAATATGACAAGCTCGTGTCTTCACTTCAGTTGCTGTAACAGTAGCCTTCATCCTGTGCTGGGCGCCCTTCCATGCACAAAGGCTAATGGTTCTGTATGTATCAACATGGACCCCTTTACTGATGAACGTGCAGAGCACGCTCTTTTATATATCAGGTGAGATAAAAAGTATAATATTCTTTATCTGTGAAATATTCAGTTTTTAGAACCACATTAGCAGAGAGGTATATTCAAATGAAGTACAGAATTTTCAATTCTTCACAGATCTGGAGATGCTTATAACTTTTATTTCAACCGCTCCTCGAGTGACAGATTAAAATAAAAAATGTAGCAAAGAGGCTTTGGGTGATCCTGGCACAGTCAGCTCAGGGCCCTTGCCCCCCTCTACACGCAGCGCAGACAGTGAATGGGACTTCTCCCAGGAAGCGCTGCCTAGTCAAATACAGCAAGAATGTTTCGGAGAATGTGAAAACTCCCAAACACTGCAGCCTTCTGCATTATCCAGATTGCCAGAAGGGCTGTATTTCTGGTACCAAACCCGGGTACTCTCCCAATGTCAGTCAACAGATTGAGAGGTACAAAACCATAGGCACCGAGAACAACGGGGAGTCGGACAACTTGGTGCTTCGGATGCAAGCGTGAAAATTCGAAAGCGAGGTCCGCATATTTGCCATGCTTTTCCTGAATCTTGTCAATCACATCTGTGTCAAAAGGGACAGAACATTCGAAAATATAAATGATTTCATCAAAAAATGACAAGATCAGGTTTGTTGGCATGGATACGTCTGAGGCTGTATACGGGCCTATTTCAAAGAATGTTGTATTTATCATTTTCCATGCCGCCCTCTGCATACACTGACAATGTGTTGGACAGTCTCATTAAACACATTGCATAATCTACATTTCCTACTTACATTTTGATGCAAAATCACACATTGACAGTTTCGAGTGGGAAGTGACTGGTCCTGAGCAGCAAACAGAAAACCTTCTGTTTTACATGTCAGGCCAGCCGACTTCACTCAGCCGAAGGACTCTGCAGGGTTGCTAATCTGCACATAAACCCGATGCAGTGGTCGTTCAGATAGCCTCTCTTTGAAAATCTGAGTCTGGGCCGACTTGACATGGTGCTTCGTTTGGTTGACACTCATTTCTGTCAAGCAGTACAGAACCATCAATTAAATCATGATTATTATTGAGATTATGTCCCACATTCTTGGCTTGTTTATGAAAACGTTTTTGAGTCTTGACATGCTTTTCAAGAGGACCATCAGACAAATAATTTATAAATGTGAGCAAAAGTGCAGAATACAATTCTATCGTGAAGAGCCCCCGCGTTAATCAAACCACGACCTCCCATTATAACTGGTAAATATAAGTGATTGAGGGGAAGAACGAGGTGGGTGGGTGGGATCTATCTTCTGACAAAATGATTCTTCGACTGAGGGTGTCAGTACCCTGAATTTCTTGTTTTGTCTAATCAGCAACACCCAAAAAATACGAAAGGACGGGTATTTGTGGCTTTAACTTCATTGCGAACATTCAGCTTTCAACTGTTCTTTGATATGATCATTCTGGAGTTTGTCCCTAACCTGCAAGTACCTATAGGCCTTATCTTCAACGATATGGTCAATTATTAATAATATTTAATATATTTTTTACTTTTTTTAAAAATAATGTTTAATGATCATGGAAAGGGTCTCGTTGCTTTTATTACATCAACCGTAAAACTGAAGCATCATTCAAATTCTAGATACCGTCTATTTCAGGTGTCTTGTACTTCGTCAGCTCCACCGTCAACCCCATCCTGTACAACGTCATCTCACGACGTTACAGAGGCGCCTTCAAGGAAACAATCTGCTTCTGTTGTTTCAAGGCAGGGTCATCCTCCTATACGAGCAGTGTGTTCAAGGGCAACCTGGACAAGCCACTCAAACAACCAATGGTGGTTGTCAACGCTGACGGTGATAGACTTCAATCGACATATCATGACCATAATGCGTTGCTACATCCGGTGGCGAACGGCATTGTGCCAGAAACGTTGAAGACACGATTAATTGACGAGAATTTTGACAGAAAAATAAACGATGCCGATTACAACTACGCTAAAAATGTGAACTCCTGTGTTGCATGCGATACGTCTGTAAATGGATATCATTCGCCTAGCAGAGCAGCTTTGCTGAAAAACGGATTTTGTGATGTGAGTCGTTCGTCGCTGAACTGTGTGCTATTAAAACATGGAACCGTGTTGTGAACATTATTCAACACCCTCGGAATGTGCACTGGTGTGTAATTCTGAAAATAAATGGAATTAACCTGAAACTGACAGGTGTTTGGGTATGTGATTTCCTTGATAAAACGCTTTGCCAATACGCCATCAGAGGTAAGATTAAGTAAGCATGAACAAGAATTGTGGATATTGCCAAAAATGTCGTTACATGTCGTTGTAGTTATTATTTTGTTAAAGTCAGTTAACTACTTACGTAATTCACATGTTTAGTTAACAATTAACGTTCGAAATTTGACGATTTAAAAAAAGAAGTAATTGGCCGATTTCGGTCTTATATTATTTCATTTGGTAAAGACGTCATCGGTGAGTAGTCAAATCACATGTTCTAGGGACATTTAAAAAAGACTTTATTTTCAGTATAGAAACCATGTACGAAAAGCGAGTGTATAATTTTACACACCTGAAAAGACAATATTTTTCCAATGACATAACATACATGTGCTCATATATAAATACAGAGCGGCTCACTAATGTCATGTTTTGTAACTGCTCCACGAAAATAGTTATTTGTCTACTCTTTCAACTTAATCCTCTAGAGCTTCTTCTTGGTGAACATACGTTGTTCTTGTATTACCCTTTCAGCAGGTATTGGTGATATCTTGGTTATTTCTCAATATCAGATCAAGTTTAAGTAGATATTTTCCAAAAGGATCGGTATGCATGAAGATAAAGCAAAAGTGATGCTTAACCCTTTCCCAGCTGAACATAATCATTAATCTGATCACAACAAAACCAACATGAGCGTCAAGGTAGCAGTATGACCAAATGCTTGCAATTAAAGACAATTACTTTATTGTTTCCCTGCAAAGTGGGACATGATTATTAAGCCATGCTTACATATACACATATATCAACAGGAAGAACCAAACAAACTAAGTAACAAATGGTGATAAGGGGTGAAGCCTTCGAAAGATCTTTGTAAGAACTTTTTCTAAGAACATGGTTGTTATCAGTTTGTTTGTTGTCGCAATCTTATCGACCGTGTGGGTGGGTGGATGATCCACGGGTGGCCCAGTCGTCTAAGGCTCCGTGACTCGCTGTGCAGAGTTGCGTCCTTTGGGCACGCAGGAAACCTATGATTGTGGGTTCGAATCCCGGTTCGCCCCGAATATGTTTCCAGGTTTATAAGCACCATACCCGTGCTCGTGGGTTTCATCGAAGTAGTAAACGTCTGTGACCATCATCACTTCGGGCTGTCCACCCACATTAAGCTACACGCCGTGATACAACTGCAATACTGTTAAAAACGGCGTTATACCCAACTCACTCACTCACTTATCAACCAGTGGGTAGCCCAGTGGACAAGACGTTCACCCATCTCGCCGAAGCCTGGGTTCGATTCCAGACATTAGAACAATGTGGGAAGCCCGTTTCTAGTCACACTACCGTGATACTGCTGGAATATTGCTCGAAGCGGCGTAAAACTCAACTACATACTACCATATACTACTGCTACAAATACTACTACTAATAATAATAATAACACTGCTGCTGCTGCTGCTACTGATACTATCTTAGCCGACCTTAGTTGTTAAAATTCATTATCCATCCGGTATTCAGTGATACAAGTTCTAGATGACCTCGAAAGAAAAGACAATTCTACAGGTATGTACATACAATTCCTTACATATCGTACCTTCTGCTTAAGAGGAAAAGTTAACATTGTGCAGATGTTTAGAATTTGTTAGGAGGCTAAAAATGGCGCGGTGAAGAAGAGCAGCGTACCATTCTGCCCAGGGAGTTTAGCGTTCCCGATAGTTGTGATTTCATAGTTTCGCAAGAAACTATCGCAAGTAGTTTGCAAAGATCAGCTTTTGGCGGCTCCCATGGCGTTAGTCTTAACACAACATATTTTCCAGAATCTTCTACTGAACACAAAATAATTACATCAACTTGTGACTTAACATTAAATAATGTCCTGAACATATTACAAAACACAAAGTAATGTCCTGAACATGTGGCTTAACGCAAGATAATGTCTTCAATTTGTAACGTAACACAAAATAATGTCCTGAACTTGTCAGTGAGACTCAGCACACAATAGTTTGTTTTTGTTTGCTTGTATAACGCCACACTCAGCACTCAGCAATATTCCGCCTCTATGACGGTGGTCTGTAAATATTCGAGTTTGGACCAGACAATTCAGTGATTGACGTCATGAGCACCAATCCACGCAATTTGGATACGATGACATGCATCAACCAAGTTAGCGATCCTGATCACCCGATCCCGTTTGTCGCCTCTAACGACAAGCATTGGTTGCTGAAGATCTTATGTCCTGAACATGTTGCATCGCAAAGTAATGTCCTGAATCAGTGACTTGACACACAATATTGTCCTGAACATGTGACATAACACAAAATAATGTTCTGAATCCAAGACTTCACACAAAATAATGTCCTGGACATGTAACTTTGCACAAAGTAATGTCCTGATTCTGTTACTTAGCACAAAATAATGCCCTCAACATGTGACAACACAAGGAGATGTCCTGAATCTGTGAATTAACACAAATTAATGTTCTGAATCTGTGACTTAACGCAAAATATTGTCCTGAACATGAGACTTAACACACAATAATGTCCTGAATATGTGACAACACAAAATATTGTCCGGATTCTGGGACTTAACACAAAGTTATGTCCTTAATCTGTGATTTTATTGTTATCCCACCTTCACACAACAGAATAGTTTTACTAACTTTGGCGTCGGTGTATTGGTCATTATGAGATGAGCAATTATTTTCATATTGTCCTTTCCTCCATGTCGCCTTTACCCATCTGTTTATAATTAGTATTGGTAATATATAATCATTCTTAATCCACTAATCCAAAGCACCAAGATGCCCTGCATAAAACGGTTAGAATTAGCATTCTGTGAAAATAATGCATAAAATGAATACGTTTAGGAGATGGTTCTCTCGGAAGATGCTTCTGATTTGCTTTCCTTCGTCTAAGGCAGCACGGAAGTTAACGAGTTATATCTTGCACACCCTCAATGGTATTGCGTGATGTGCGCTGGGTCCGGGGAATCTAATGACTTGTCTGACAGGCAGGCCACTCATAATTTCCCTAAAGAAAACGCTGGCCTTTCTGGTAACTTGATTCCACAGTGCCGTTGCACTTGAACGCCAAACATCTCAAGCAAATTTGTGTCACTGTAGCACTTACATGACATCAACTAATTATATGTTATGTAGATAAACAGCTTTTTCAAAAGACTCCGCTGATTATAAAGTGAGTCATTTGTGTCATGTTTACTTCCGTACTGGGTGCAGTTCAGGGAGATTGATGGCTTACACATTATTGTGAGCTGATGAGGCCAGTCAGTATATCGTGTCGGTTAGATGGTTTTTTTTATAACTGCGAATTTGACATCGATAAAGTCATTCATAATCTCTAATTGAGACAGTTACCCTCCATTCTGCCTTGGGAAATTTAAAGAAATTGCGAACACAAAAAAAGAATAAGTGATTGGCATCCGTGGAAGCTTCCACTTTTTCTATATTTATTAATTATCAAATGAGGAATCAAAATGACCGATGATACTTTCAACCCAAAAACGTATCCTTAGTCACGCAAGGATCCGCTGATCGTAGGTTCGAATCCCAGATTTGTTCGAAAAGCACACTCCTTAGGTTTACAAGAATAGTAATCGTCTATGGCTTGAGTCACTTTGCCATGTAAAGTTGGAAGTTACAAAATGATGTCTTTTCCTTTGCAATAAGCAAACACATATTTAGTTGTTTCACGTAGATCGATGCCACCGGTGGACCAATAAGATTGTGTGAGTTCAATTATTATAAGGGTAACGCTATTTTTCAGGGCATTATCATTTGCAGAAGCCCGAGGTCTTCCATTAACTGCCCGACGAAGGAGGGCAGTTGAAAAGACCGAGGGCTTCTGCAAATGATAATGCCCTGAAAAATAGCGTTACCGTTATTATAGCTTAAACGGATGGAATTTGTTATCAAATAAAAAGAATCAACAATATCGATTTTGAAACATTTACTGCAATTAACACGAATGTCACTGACCCACTTTTACAAATATGGAAACGTCATAGAACAAACCAGATGACGTCACTATTGAACGTTACGTCACCTATCCCTATCCTATGACGTCACCTAACAACGGGCGTGATAATGGCCCGTCGTCAAGTAATATGAGGGCATTATCAAGTTACAGTGGCCCGCTCATTTCTGATAACATGCGGGCGTTTTTATGATAATTCTATCCATTTTAGCTATAATATGGTTTAACATGCAACAAACAATCATTGAGAATATTACAGGATGTTAGACAAATGCGCTGTTTACATGTACGCCATTGAATGGTGTGGTTCGAATTGTTAGGAACGAAAGTTGGTAGAAATTGCCTGGGAACGAACATGTCGGACGATTACCAATTATCAAGTGCCAAGTCTTCTTGGCACTGTGAGCCATATAGCAGTGCCACTTTGGCGATCCTAAGAGTGAACCATTTACAAGCTTGACTTGCATTTCGTTCTACTCCGTGATGAAACTGTAGTTAAGGTAGAATGGAGTGTTACATCAACTTCAGCAGTTTGGTAAAGTTAATTACACAATTGTAAAATAAATGAGCTGCAACCTTATTGGTTGAAAAAAATTATTTAAACTTTCAAGATCGGATCCCGGTAATCACTGCGTATGAACACCTTCATAAGGAAACTTACCTTTTGGCGTGGCGTGATGGATAAAGCATTAATTATAAGATTGGTCACTATTTATCAGCCATATTGTGATTACCTTGGTTTTCTCCTAATTCTGCTAAACAGGCGGGCTCCGTTATCACAGAACAATGTCATCACTTAACATTACGGAAAGATTCTTGAGTCAACAAGCAAAGAATTAGAATAAGAAGACATCAGAAACTATGCAATCCGTCGACAGCGGTTCGCACAAATATTGCTCTACTTGTCATTCCATCGTAATTTGCCAACTGGCATTTTCCTTGCTGCGTGTTGACACTTTGCAATACATCACACGGCACGAACCGGATGGTCCTTACTCGAACACACTGCTAATTTACACATGCACTTTGTTAGAATACCGAATGGTGTCGCTGTGTGTTATTCCACCAAGAACGCTGAACGATTCTGGGT